AAAAAAAAAAAAATTTCACCTGCCTGGTTCTATATACTTGCTCCTATGTTCTATTTGATGATGGCAGTCACCACAAGCAATAGAATTTGAATTAACCTCTCTGGGTAGAGGGTTTGCTCAGCTTTCTCTCTGTCGGTCAAGGCGGGTGTTATGAAAGCACCTACTTCCTAGGGTCCTGTGAGAACTGAAGACAATGAGAACATTTAGAACAATGGCTGTCACAAAACAATCAGCCGATGGATGTGACCTGTGACTGTCCATAGGAGCTGCCAGCAGATATGCGGTCATATCGTAGGTGTCAGCTTTGAGAAGTATAAAGTGCTGTGTAAAGGATGCTGAATGCAAGGGCCTGATATATTATCCACACCAATGTTGACACGGGCAGCAAGTAGGCAGAGAAAGGGCAGGCAAATTCATGGGCAGGCCCGAGGACTTTGGAAACTGAGCCTTAGCAATATTTGCATCTGTTCTGAGGAGAAGAACCTCTTCGCCCTCCTCAGATAGCTCGCATCCTCTAGTCTGTCCTCTGCATTGGGGGCAGCTGGAGGGACAAGCGTCATCTAGGACCTTCCAAAGCAACCCAACAGGGAGAGACCTTGGTGTCTTGGGACTCACCTTGTCCACAGGAGAGATGAATGGGGATGACATGGTTCCAGGACTTCCGCTGATGGATGAGAGAGCCATCATCTTGGCTATCATTTTATTCCTTTTGTGCCTGGTGGCATTGGTAGGCAACGGCTTCATCACTGCAGTACTTGGCATGGAGTGGTGGCTACGCAGGACGTTGTCACCTTGCGATCAGTTATTGGTCAGCCTGGGGGCCTCTCGCTTCTGTCTGCAGTGGGTGGTGGTCAGTAAGAGCACTTACGTCTTCCTGTATCCAAAGGCCTTCCCGTACAACCCTGTACTCCAGCTCCTAGCTTTCCAGTGGGACTTCTGGAATGCTGCCACCTTATGGGTTTCCAGCTGGCTGAGTGTCTTCTATTGCGTGAAAATTGCCACCCTCACGCACCCTGTCTTCCTCCGGCTAAAGCGGAAGGTGCCTGGGCTGGTTCCACGGATGTTGCTCAGCTCGGTGGGGTTCTCCAGCTTGAGCACCATCTTGTTTTGCACGGGCAACCACAGCATTTACCAGAACTATTTACGAAGAGGTCCGCAATCTTGGAATCTCACTGGGGATGCTGTCAGGAGAACATATGAGAAATTCTACTTCTTCCCTCTAAAAATTGTCACCTGGACACTCCCTACCACGGTCTTCCTTGTTGGCATGGTTTTGCTCATCACATCTCTGGGAAGACATGCCAAGAAGAGCTTCCTGTCCACCTCTGGTTCTCGCGACCCCAGGTCTCAGGCACACATCAAGGCTCTCCTGGCCATCACCTCCTTTACCATCCTTTTTACCTCCTCTTTTCTGTCACTGATGCTCAACGCCGCAGGTGTTTTCCCATCTCAGGAATTCAAGTACTGGGTGTGGCAGGCAGGCATTTATCTATGCACAGCGGTCCACCCCATCATTCTGCTCATGAGCAACCCCAGGCTGAGAGCTGTGCTGGCGAGGGGCTGCTTCTTACCACGTGGGGCATCTTGAATTACAATTGAGAAAAGCCCCCAGAGGCTAATGCGCAGGCATGAGCACGGCGGCGGTGGCGGTGGGATGCTGCTGCTTTAAATCTCTGCCACATTTCATGATGAGGAGAGTCACTTCAATGCAATAGGATTGCAGAGGTGCTGAAATCGGGGCTAGCATCACTGATATACCCTCTGCAAGCGTGTGGCTGACACAGCCGTGTTCCCTGTGGGACCTGATGTGGCCAAGAGTCAGGAAACTTTTACTTTCCCTGTGATTAGTCTCTTGGTGTTTAAAATGGTCCTTCTAGAAACTGGATGCAAGGATCCTGACATATGCAATTTTTATCTGTTGGATCAGACTGGAGAAGATGTTTGGAGCCTCCACTGTCCTCTGGCTTCATCCTGTAAACCACCTTTCCCTTTTCATCATTTAACTGCTTTTCAGGCATCTCCTGCAGTGAAGCGCTCTGTCTTTCCATGCAAGAGTTCCTGGTTATCTGATTTCTATTCACAGAGCTTGGTGTAGTATGTGTGTGCATGTGGCGGTGTGTGTTACCGGGTATTTGTATATTTGCAAGTGACCTTTTGAGAGCCCTCCGAATGCTAGGGCTTTATGATTCATATGCGGTTTATGTTCTCCATAATAGCCCAGCCTGTTAGTTTCCACGTGTGACCTTAACATTTACAGCCCAGATGTGACTTCTTTTACGTTGACCTTGGGACCTACTGAAATTTTGACACGGAGAGTTTCCTCTACATCTGTCTGACCCTTCAGATTTAAGAAAAAGGCCCCTGGCTTGGGCTGGTGAAGAGTGTAGCCTGCATTTCTTCCTGTCACAGAACTCAAACCTCCCTTAAGCTCACTTACCTCTTGAACCATTCAAACTGAGATGCTTACGCTTCCCTCTCTTTGCTTTAAAATCTCTCAGCCCCTTTTCCTCTTTTCCCTTCCCCTCCCCTCTGCACTAGAAGACAGGTGCCTGCTTCTGGCTCTTCAAGGCTCACATTGTGCGCTCCTGGCTCCACGCTCTTGTGCCTGTAGCCTATCCCCTGCTCAGTCAAGGGGGTCCCACTTCTGCACGCGTCTTTGACTTTTCCCTCGTTATTGTCCTCCCGTCTTCGACAAACGTGTCTTTTAACTTCTTTCCTGAAAAGTATCCCCTCTACTCTCCTACGCCCCCCCAAGCATTCATCCTTCTAATTAGTCACTTGTTCAGAGCACTCCCCCGACCCCCCGCCACCCCTTGTACTCCTTTTCTGCTCCCCATCCTGTTGAAATGTGTTTCTAAGGGACACACGTGAGTTCCTGATCCCTCAGTGTGTCCTTATCCTTAGCCCTCATCCTGTGTCTCTGCACTATTTGCCTCTCTTGAGAATACATTTTTTCCCCCCCCAGAAAACAAACTGATTAAAAATATTTTCACAAAAGTAATACTTAGTCTTGGTAGAAGACAGGTAGTTGTCTTCAGTCTAGTTGTGGAGGGTGCAGCTCCTTGGCCCATGTGGGAATCGAACTGGCAACCTTGTTGTTATAAGCCTGCGCTCTAACCACCTGAGCTAACTGGCCACCCCAAAGATTTTTTAAAAAGGAGAGTAAATACCATGCATGCTTGCTTGCCCATCATGTATCTTCCTGAAAAACCTTCTTCTTTTGTGAGTGGCCCTGGGGTAAGGTGTGGGGGGAGGCGGGGGAGGGCCGGGGAGGGAGGTCTTCCCTGCCCCAGGCTGCTGTTTTGTCTACCATATATTTGCTCACCGTCCTGGCCTTGGTCCTCTCCTTAGCCAGCCCCCTTCTTTCTTTGGGGTTAATCTGCTCCTGTTTCTACTCACATCTACTCACATGGCTTCAGTTATGACCTTCATGTGAATAATTACCAAAGCCTTGACCTTCCTCAGAACTCAAAACCTCTATTTTTTTTTTCCCTCTTGCTGGGCATTTGTGCCTGATGGTACCATGAGCACTTCGAGTTGAAAACTCAGCAAGCTGAAAACGGCTGCCCTCCTTCCCCCGCTCCTTTACCTTGCCCCCCACCCCCAGCCCTTCCACTGCTCAGTGGAACCTATTTTTTTTCTACTATTGATAGCCATTGAATCAGGCTGACAACCTCTGAGTTAGTTTTCACTCCCCACTCTCCGCGGAGCCCTTCGCCCCAGTCAGCCACTTGTCTTCAACTTCTATCTCTGCAATGTCTCCATTCTCTCTCCCTTTCTTCCCAATCCTGTGGATCCTATTTTAGATTAGACTGTCCTCCTCTCTTAAATTTCTGCTTAAATTTCTTCTTTACCATGTGCTTCATTACATTCACTCCTCCCAACTCCCCCCACCAATCAAAATTACCATTACCAGATTAATCTCCCGAAGGCCTGGCTGTGACCATTTCACCCACACCCTCATCACCTCTCAGCGCTTATCAAACGAAGCACGGGTCCCTAGACTTGGCATCCAAGATCTCCAAAATGTGACAATAATTGTATCTTTCACCGCTTCCATTCTAGTCGAATCCTATTTTGCAGATAAATTTGGGTTATTATTGTTCTGGACCCACCTGGAGCTTCCTCCCTGCCATGCTGAAGTGGGCTCTTATCCTCACATCTGTCAAAATCCTGTTTAATTCCGCGCCCCCCTCTCAAAGTTTTTTTGTTTTTTTTCCTAGCTGAGCCATCCTGCTACCTGTTGGCAGCTCAGCGGCTGCTCAGCTCGAACCAGGACTTGAACTGCTGTTGCTCAGAGCTCGCATTCTTGAGCGAGTTCCTACCCAACTGAGCCACTCGGCCGGCCCCCTTCTTCAACTCTTAAGGGTTAATTCTCCTCTTCAGGGAGCTTTTCTGGATGCCCCTCCACCCCTCTGATCTCTCCCACCTTTGAGGACATATAATTGGGTATTGCTTCGCTGTGACGTGTGCCTTGTAGTGACATACCTGCATAGTCGGCTTATTCTCCCCAGTAGATTTTAAAGTTCCAGAAGGCATGGGCTGCCTCATAGTCTCCTGTGTGTCCCCTGAAGCACTTTCAAACACTTGCTACCTTGAACAGAAACAGTCTATTGCACCTGGAACCCAGCTGTGAGCACGTGTCCTTTTGTCGGTATATTTATCTACTTACTGCATTTTTATGCTTACGTTTGATCTGTATTCCCTTGACTGTCTGGCCGGCTTATTTTTGGAGGTCAAACTTATATTCTGTTTCGCTTTGACTTATGCGCAATGTGGAAATAATAATAAATGGGTAAGCGAGAGTAAAATTTGCCTGATTTTTGCCATGCCTTGACTTTCTTCTTTCTGGAACCCTTCCGGGTTGCTAGGCAACTGTGAACAATCAGCTTTTAGCTCCTTCCTGTGGGAATGCAAGTGAATGGCCACTTCTTCCTCTTTGTTCCTGGCCGTGGCTCCCCTTCCAGAGAACCTTCTATAAGCTTCTCTTCTCCTTCCCCTCTTCATACCCTTAGCCTAGGAGAACAGAACAGAATCAGAATGATCTTCCCAGGGGGACAAGTCCTCCTGGAGCTTGGACACATGGCGAAACAAAAGAGAAGCCGGAGTTATTGTAGTTTAAAAATACCGAGTGGCTTATTACTATCATTCATTTTTGCCTGTAGTCTAATTTCATCATGCTTTATGGTAGTATTAATAGCAGTTGTTTATGCATGCCTAGTTTGTGTGAGGCATGGGGCTAAACAATTCATTTTCTTAAGTCCTTTGTATACTTAACTCTTAAAACAATACTGCAGAGTGGAAGTGGAGGCTTAGGGGTCTTCAGCTAGGCCTCATGGCCAGGGAGTGATAGATCTGGGGTAGCTTAGTGCTATAGTATTTTCAACAGGGTGATATTGATATAGGAATAGTTAAGTACACATTGGTACTACAAGTGGAAAAAACAAAATAAAGTGAGAGCCAACATTTTATCATAAATGCCAGATAAATTCTAAAGACAGATGACCTGTAATCGAAATGTCATTTAATTTTTAAAAGCCCCCCCCCTTTTAAAATAATTCAATGTTTCCTATATTTTATTTCATAAAACACTGCCTTGTGGTTTTACATGAATGCCGACTGTTCTCGTCCCACCTGTTCGGATGTCCTAGTGGCGTATGTACATATACTTCATCTCCCACAAACCAGAGAAGCCCTGTTTTCTTAGGCCGTCTTAAGCAAGACTTGAAATATCTAGTCATAATGGAAATCGTTGGCAAATTTGACTACAGAAGACTTTAAAACTTTTTTTTTTTCACAAAAAGCTGCCATAAATGTAGGAATCATTGAAGTCCTTTTCAATTTTAAAGGACAAGTAACAGACTGTCAGAAAATATTTACAAACATTTTTAATAGGTAAAAGCTAGTGTCTCTAATATGCAAAGAGCTTCTGCAGATCAATAAGAAAAATACGAGCAAACTACTAGAATGGTGGTTAAATGAGAAAAATAGATAATACAGATAGTCCAGTAAAAAGTGAAATGAAGCTTATCATCACTGATGATCAGGGCACTACAAGTTAGAATAACAATAAGACTTCTGCTATAAAAATGGCAGCCTAAATAAGCCAGTAGTTTCCTCGTTTGCCTGGAAATCATGTAAAAGCAACAAGAAAATTGAGAAAAGATTCTGGAAATTCCATTTTCAGTGAAGCGAAGAGACAGATAATTGCCAAATTTCAAATTATGTGAAACCACCGCCAATCACAGATGAGATCAGGTAGTTTCCAAAGAGAAAGTGGAAAGTAGAAGTTTGAAGAGAAATCAGAGAAGCCAGTGGGGGCAGAGCTAAAATTCCAGCAAAATACACTTTCTGCACAAAAAGAGGATTCTCTCTGAAATGCAGAAGGCCCTTACTATGCATGTATTAGTTATCTATTGCTGTGTAGCAGATTATCCTGACACATAGTGGCTTGAAACAGCCTTTTCTGTAAATTCATAGCTACTGTTTGCCCTCTTTTTAAATTTATAAAAATAAGACTAATGTATTCTAAGGTTATTATGGAAATTGAAGGAAGCCAAAAACGAAAACAATGAAGGTAGACAAGCT